CAGGTCGGCCGATCTCTCACGAGATCATTCTTGAGGCCGGTGCCGTGCCGCCGAAAGGTTGCATCTATCGGATGAGCGAGGAGGAGCTTGAGGTACTCCGCGCACGACTCGACGATTTGTTGGCCAAGGGCTGGATCCGCCTGAGTAGCTCCCCATATGGAGCACCAGTTCTCTTCGTCAGGAAGAAGAACAAGGATCTACGATTGTGTATCGACTACCGCAAGCTCAACGCGCAAACCGTCAAGAATGCGGGGCCTCTTCCTTGCATCGACGATCTTCTCGAGCGGCTGGGCGACGCGAAGTATTTTTCCAAGTTGGATTTGAAATCGGGATATCATCAAATCTCGATCCAGCCGAACGATCGCTACAAGACCGCTATCTAACAATGGTTGTACTCTCGCTATCTACTCTGATCTGTGTGCAGTTTGGACTCTGTCTCCTCTCCCCCTTCTCTTGTGCATGTATGGGCGTGCATGAGATTTGTCTGTGTGTGAATGGCGGTAAAAATCGTCAGACAACCAAGATCATAACAATGAGAAAAAAATTCGAACTTTCAGACTGCCAATGATTATCACATAGTGAAAATCATAGAACTACGAATAAAAAGAATTCCGAAAAGAAAATAAAAAAATATTCGGAATTACTTAAATGAGAGTACGCGCAGTTTGGAAAATGGTAACTGCAAGAGGGATTTCCCGTACCGTTTTCAAAAAAACGAATTTCGGAAAAAAAAAGAAAAAGTATTTCGGATTTCCAAATAACGGGAAATTGCAAAAGGAAATCGAAATTTTCGGAAAAAAAGATATTCCGGATTTCCAACAACGAAATTTTGAATTTTCAGAAGAAAAACGAGAACGGAAATTTCAGGTGTTGCGCTATTGTGATTTTCCACAACAGAAATAGCAGAAAAACAAAATCCAAGAAAAGAAAAAAAAAAATGATTTTCGGCAGTGACGTCAAAATCGTGATCTTGGGGGCTAATTAGTGTGCTCTAATCAATCAATGAATTGTTACATGCCCAGTTGGGCGATGTACATATATAGCCAAGGATCCGCAATGTGATGAAAAGGACTGAATGGACAATGCAGTGCTAGTGGAATCTCAACAAGCAGTGTACATCCTGATACATACAAAAATGGTGCTTTGTAGCGCAGTGGAAGACTTAGATAAAGTCCTGACCTGACCGGGACTGACCTCCCTCACGTAGTACAAGACAGCGTAGCGGAATGCTAGAATACCAATGACTAGCCCAATCAATGTCGCAATGCAGACCAAACATACATCATCCTCGTTATAAGGTATGAAGGGGCCTGGCGCTACACACAGGAAGAATCTGCCAGGTCCAGATCATGCACAGACGAAGAGGAGGGAATCAGACGAAGAAGAGAGGGGGGGAGATGGGAATGTCGTCAACACCAAGTCTTCGTTACAAGTCGAAAATAATCCCTCGTCAAAATGTCTGAAGCCCCATGTCGAGTCTGGGTCCAAATGTCACCAATCCCGCTCTCTCGTAGTCTGCTGATGCAGTGAAGTCAGATAGCTAGAGGGTGAGAAGGAGATGGTGGACTGAGAAGAGGAAGAAGAAGAACTCTCTCTCTCTCCCATGTGCCAGGTACTAACCTGTGAAGATGGCGCTGTGCTGCAGGTACCTCGAAGACGAAGCTGGAGCTATGGCGCTGCAGGCAAGTCTCTCTGGCCTCCGCCCAATCTCTCTCTCTCTCTCTCCAGTACTACTCTAGCTCCTACTAGCGCCCAGGGCTGAAGACTACTGCTAACGCTACTACTACTACTGCAGCGCTCCTCCAGAGTGGTGTTGCCGAATCCTGAAGACTACCTCCTGCCTCCTGAACTGCACATGAAGTGCTTGGGAAGTCCCTGTGAACTACCTGCAGCCTGCAGGGCGGGCCAGTCCTATATAGTGCTGGCCCGTCCAGGAGGCTGCTCTTGCCAATGCCAAAACGTGCCAGACCCTGGCGGTGAAGCTCAAACAAAGGTTGTCTTGAAAACAGGCCCGAAATGGCCTGTGGTAAAACCCTGGTCTGGTGCCTAAGTTTCAGGGCAGTTTGATCTTATGAGGGCCTGAAAATGGCCCTCCGTTTCAGGCTGAAAAGACTCAGGGCCTGGAGGGCCCTGTTTTAGGCTGAAACGACACAGGGCCTGTAGGCCCTTGTTTTCAGGCTTTCAGGGTGAAACGACATAGGGCCTGTAGGCCCTTGTTTTTAGGCTTTCAGGCTGAAAACGACAAGGGCCTGAAAATGGCCCGTGCAGCCTGTTGCAGGCGCAGCATGTAACACACACACACACACACACACACACACACACAGAGAGAGAGAGAGAGAGAGAGAGAGAGAGAGAGGAGGGAGGAGGAGTTACCTGTTGGGTGTGGGAAGGTGGCCATAGACTGGTTCATCATTCTTTGATTTCCAATAACGATTTCAAGTTTCTAATATTGTGTTCATCTCGTACCTCGTGTGTGGAGCTTGGTGTGATGACATGTGAGCTTGTGTGGACGTGTCAATTTTTGTGTGGGTTAGCAGGATCATAACAAATGCCTTGTTCCTGCGTATATTAGGCAAACAATACCAGTAACATCATCCATTAGGCATAGATTGAGTTGCCAAAAGGTATATACTATATAGTATATAGTGGAATAGTACTGGTGATAGTCTGGTATAGTATACGCTATACACTGGAGGTTGGAAACCTGAGTGGAGTCCCGGGGAGTCCTCGTTTGCAAGCCTAGAATAATAGCGAAAGTTCCCGCAAAGCAAGTTTTGAAAAGACCATAACAAGTTATAGACTTATAGTACAAACTGCGAAAAAAAAAGACTGATATATCTTTTTGAACAGAACTTCCCAGTAAACGGTAGGCGTCGAGCCTCAGGGAGAAGAGGACAACAAATGAGGGGGTATGGCAGACTGTTTAGTCAGAGTTTCGTCGGCTCATCATGAGAATGAGCCCTCTGCAGCTGCTTAGTGACTTAGTCCTTATCTGCAAGCCTAGAATAATAGAGAAACAAGTTTTTAAAACACGCTAACAAGATAGTAAATACTTTGAAAAGGGACTACATAGTACATATATATTATATACTAAATACTAAATAGTTTTTTTTTACCTTTTTTCAATTAGTCACCCTACCCCATACTATGTTTATACTAACTTTATACCCATATACTGTTATAGTACATACCCATAGTACATACTGTTATAGTACAGACTGTTATACTACATACCCATAGTACATACAGCTATAGTCCATACCCATATACTTTATAGTACTGTTATAGTACATCGTAGTGCGATTTCTTTCTTACTTCTTTTGAGGAAAACTGTATTTGTTGAATATAGTCTATTTTGAGAGTTATCTATCTGTGTGTGTGTGCACTGTGTAGTGTGTACGATTGAGGTAGAGCGATAATGTAGGTACGGCGCTAGGTGGGACTCCCCACCTCTTATTTAGAGGTCTGAGTGTTTTTTTTTTTTGTAGTCTTTTTAATTTAACCATCTTCCCACGATGCATTTGGTCTGGTTGTTGCATAGAATGCAGAGCTGTCTGTGTTGTTTTTCAATTCTTTTTGTGTCTAACTGCCTTACCTAAGCTTTGCGATTCGTGCAAATGAAATGTATTGTGCTGGTCCTTTCATGGATGTGTTTCACCTGCCTGCCTGCGGTCCTGTCCCACAGAAAGAGTAGTGGCCATTGATGGAGATATGGTCAGCGTGAACTACCGATGCACGACAGAAGATGGCAAGGTAAATTTCAAATTTCTGAATAATTATTTCATAATTATTGCATCATTTTTTTTCATCATTATTGGATAATTTTTTGCATAACTTTTGGCATAATTAATTTTTGCACAAGTTTTTGCATATGACCCCCCTAAGTACCTCAGAGGCACTTGCGCTGTTATCCTTAAACCACCAGTACTTGGCCCAGCTATCGGCCGCGGAAAAAGATAAGAGTACAAATGTTTCTAGTTGGATGAATTTGGGCGCTCCTGTAGTGGCCCGTACGTTTCCTAAAATCATGGTGCGTTAACCGGCACGGCTTCTGGAGGTACTGGTGGTTTAACACTCTTTAAGCAAATAGCGGTCCTTGCGTAACGCTCCCGTGAGAACCCGCTCTCCACTGTTGGGAAAGTTTGTGGGACCGGTAGGCGGGCCCAACGGAGAGCAGCCGAATCGTTTGGGGCGGCCCGACTTTCGCTCGAACGTCGAAATATACACTACTACGAGCCCGGGTCATGGAAATATACACCACCACGTTCCTTTTTTTTTTTTTTT